GTATTATATAATACCTTTTCCCTGTGCCATTCCACATTATTGCAAATAACTTCATTTCTGGACATTTATGGTTTGATTTCTTTGTATGTATGGATCACTTGGGTTGTTACTGACATCTGGTGAAAATTTCATGTCATTAGCACCTCTAATAATATATTTACTGAGAAAAATGGTGACGTGTYCAATACTTATTTTACCCGTTGTATGTTTGTTGTCAAAATACCTTTTAGTACATATGTTGTTAAAATAAAATAAACAGTCCAATGATCATTTTCCTGATATGTACTGTATAAAAACTGCAAAGGCTGAAAATTTTTGAAGTCTATGTGAAATTGGAGGTAGTTTGAGGATTAAATTTTTTATGCTTTTTAATCTCAAAAAAGGGGGGTCATGTTATACAAGAGATCGTATTTTACATGAATAAATACGGTAATTCACGTTTTTTTCAAGATGTCTACTACAGCCAACTGACCATAAAAGACAAAAAAAAAAAAAAAACTAAAAATCATTTAATTTTACCAATGTTTTGCTAAAATTTGGTGTAGTAGTAGCAGAGAATATTTCATGACACATACTCCTAGTTTTGTACATTATCTGACATGTTTGAATAAAATTTAGCAATAACTCTTGGCATCAACCCTGTATGTCTGTTAATAGTATATTGCATAAACCAGTAAATGCATTTTAATGAATTTCCCTAAAAGTAATGGATGGACAACTGCAAGTGTTTAGCCAACCCTTTGGAGTCAGTTCAGCTCAACATGGCCACCACAGTTTTTAACATTAGCCAACACAGAAATGGCTATAGCTCAGTCAATTTGACATATATTTAGATGTTATCTAGTGTGGTAATAGCTGAGAGTTATTCATAACACAGAAAACTGAACCCAGAAAACTCTAATATACAGTAGCAGTTGTTAGAGTGGTGCTGATTTCCTGTGTAACTCTGCTTGACATAAAGCATTGAATTAAAATCCCCCTCCATCCAAACAGCAACAAATGCACAATGAATTGATTAAGTAAAAGAACTGGCGGGAGACATAACTGTGGAATTGTTATGATCCAAAAAGTGTTGCATAATGGTTTTCTCCCAGTCTGATTGTCACGGTTCTCTGTGAGGTTCAACCCAGATGCAAACAAACATGAGCAGCTCATAAAATAAAATGATTTAAGCAAAACAACACAGATAAACAGACATGGCAGAAAAACGTACTGACATAGGAGTGCAAAGCGAACGCCAGGGGAACGGAGACGGAAGACTGAAACTATAAAAAGCTGGACTGATGTGAAGGTAAACAAGGACTGAACATATAGAGCTAAGGGTTAGTGAGAAACTGACTGCAGATGGGACTAATGAGCAAGACGGGAACAGTTAAGGTAGACGTTAGCAAGCTGACTGAAAGAATACAGAGGAGGTTGACTAAGGGTGAATATGAGACGACATATGGAACTCCAGGGAGACAAAAAAGACTGATCAAAATCTGATAAAACACAAGTTACAGAATACAAAATACAAGAACCCAAAAAGGAGACACTGATCCAGATCTTTCATCCTGCTTTCCTGTTTCTAACCTTTTTAGTTTTCTTCAGACACCAGCAGGAGGCAGAGCAAGGCTGGTGTCTCATTTTCCCACTGTTTTCTCCTAATGCCAAGCTTCAGCTTTAACTCAAAGCTTGGCAACCTCTTATGTCAGTTTACTGACAAGATATCATCAGAAAAAGTCAAAGTTTTACATCACTGCTGTCCTACTAAAGCTGATGCACTGAAGCACAATCAGCTGTAGGCCTCAAACACAGGTCGATAAAATGATTCTGATACATGTTAGTGAATTACAGGCAGAGGTGGAAAGAGTACTAAAATAACATACTCAGGTAAAAGTAGTTTTACTGGTAATACTGGTAGACCAAGGAAGACATCAAAACATCAAGACAGAAAACTTAAAGCAAAATGTCTCCAAAACTGAAAATGCACAAGAAAACAAATGAGGAATGAATGGGAGAAAACTGGAGTCAACATCTGTAACTGAACTGTAWGAAACCGCCTTAAGGAAAATGGATTTCCATACAGAAAAGCTAAACGAAAGCCAGCATTAACACCTAAACAGAAAAAAACAAGGTTACAATAGCTGCGTTTCCATTGCAAATGCATGCAAAATTTTGTCGATATTTTGTAAATGTCGAAAAAACAGTTTCGTAATTGTGGTGTTTCCATTAAGTAAGAAATGCTATTAAAGTCACATGTGAATATGTTTGTTCTTGCCATGTCATTACAAACATGGCGGCAATGGATGTAAACACATGCATAATTGCTACCATGGCACTAGCCCTCATCGTCGTCAAAGGAGACGTCGGCGTCTAATCAAGCTTTCGAGCAACGAGCCCCTTGTCCTTGGGAGCGGCTACATATGCAGCATTTTTAGGAAATTGTAGTTGGTAAATTTACTAGTTCTTTTACAATTTTGGTGATTTTACTACTTCTTCTATTTCCTGTTGTCTTCTCCGTCGTCGTCTTTATCGCCAGTAGAATCAGACGGTTCTTGATCATGTGACTCCCATGATGTGAAAAATGTGTTTCCATTGTAGTTTTGCAAAACACACCAATTTCGATTTGGCCGAAAAACCACCTCATCCTAGCGCAAAAACATTTTGTCGAAAAAATAGTGTTTTTTAATTGATGTGTTTCCATTTAGCAAATTCATTTTCAAAATTCTAATTTGCGCATTTTCATGGTCAATGGAAATGCAGCTAATGGGATAAGGAATAGCAATCATG